ATTAAAATATATTATAAATATATTATTAATGTTCTATAAAATTATAAATTATATTAAATTATAAATTATATTACAATACATACATTTAATATAATTTTTAATTTTTTAAATATATAAATATGATATAAATTATAAATACACACACACACATTTTATGATAGTACGAAATTAATTTTATCTCTCAGCAGAAATGCAATCATACAGAAATTTTAGACTTTAAATACACAACTGCCATAACGACTGAACTACAATCACTCAGGCACTTCAGTTCTTGAGTTGGTTCGTACTGTTCGTACGTTTCGCGCGTGCATTGTGACAGTTATGTATATATTTGAACGTAGAACGTACGCAACCTGAATTTGGCTTTAGTCATGTCACGATATTATATGAATTCGCATGAAGATTGACGCTTTGACAAACGCCGTTGGATTTTGCCGACAATTAAATTTCTCGTAGGTCTACGGCCAATCGCTTTGGTTATCTTTTATTGCAAATGCATCATTTTAACATTTTATCGTATCTTTCTTTAATCTTCTCGCAAATAGATAACGTAATCACATTTTGTTCCCTGCTACTGTGTGTGACTTGTATGTATATATGGTTTTTAGACACTTCTGGAGGGTAGAATGTCAGCAGAATCGGAGATAATACTCGAAGAGGAACATTCTGTGGACCTGTTCTCAGATGTGGAATCGTCGCAAAGTACGAATAATGTAGCTAATTCGGACTGTAAGAATCTGCCTATTCACACGTTCTATGCATTACGTTTTTGCGTCTCTTTTAATTAATTCTCAAATGTTTGGCTTCAGCAAGTTCCATGTCGATTGGTGTTAACGAGCCTGAACCTTCCGACGATGTACCTGAGTGGAAGGGCATGAGTATGGACGAGATACGCAAAGGTCTTGGTGTTTACGATTATCGAGAACATCCGCCGATCGTCATCGCTCCTCATCATACAGTATTGTTCATGGTATGATTTAACATGAATAGAACAATAATATATTATTAAATTTTTGAAGGCTAATAAAAATAAATAATATATCACAGTTAAACAAAAATGAAATTAATTTGCAAAGCATTAACTTAATTTAAACTACTAAGAGAGCAAATTAAATGTTAAAATAATTATATTTAATTACATATTCACAATTATCATATTAGAATTAAATAAAAATTTATTTGTTTAGTTGAGTGGCCTTTTATTGCCTTATATTTAAAATTTATTTAATATGTAAAATCTTGTTATTTTATTAATTATTTGTTTCTTTTAAATTGTGATTAATACTCGGCGAGCCGAAATGTATTATGTATGTCATTTCATTAAATTATTAAATGTATTTTAATTATTTTAATTTGTATTGTAATTTGCTCGTCTCTTGGTCATTTAAATATAAAGGATTTTTTATTTAATTTAATTATAAAGGATTATTTTGATAATATATCTAACTTATCAATTTTATAGATAAGTCTTGCTGTGCATACTTGTTAGATATCTATTATATTTGCACATACTTTTTCTGATTTAGTTACCATTGCGTTCACATGGAGCACCAAAGCCCTATCCAACGCATCAAATAGACAAATGGAGCCAGGGTTATGTACGAATGCCACATTCTGCGCATAGTTTGTATCCAATAGAGCAGGTATATATTGTCAAATAAACAGAATGTCCAACATTTGCAATCTTGAGATGACAGATTCTTTGAATTCGAAAATTTACCCATACTTTCTTAGAAAATATTGAGAACAATTACCATTTCAAATTTTTAATATTATATATATGTATATAATTTCAAATTGCTTGAAGAATTTATCATCAAAATAAAGATTGCAAGATGCAGGATTGTCTATAAAGAAAATGGATATTAATTATGTATTAAGATTACTTTTTTAGTATTGGATATTTCGCATAGAGAGTATAAAATAATTATTGATATTAATTAAACTTTATATTTTAGAAAAGTGGAAGTCGTTGTTGTCGAAATAGATGGGAGATGATCCAGGAAGCTTTGCTGAGGAGCATTCTTTCTAGCCAACAGTTAGAAGAGGCTATACTTTCATACAATCAAATATATGCACAGCGCTGGAATTTTGCGGCGCTCCATCACTTTTTCTCAGAGGTATTACCTACGGTACATCACACTTGGGTTGTGCTCTTTAAAAATTTTGATTAACAAGAGAATTTTTGACGCAGGTCATAGACTCGGAAGAGACAACAATGTTCTTTGAAGTACTGATGCCAAAAATAGTCCAACTGGCTTTGCAGCTTCCTGTGCTGTTAACCGGTGCGGTGCCTCTGTTGAAACGACATAGCAACGATTCCATCAGTTTAAGTCAATTACAAGTAGCTTCGCTACTGGCAAATGCATTTTTTTGTACATTTCCTAGACGCAATTCCAATAATCCGCAATCGGAATACGCAACGTATCCTTATATTAATTTTAATAGGTAATTTTAATAGGTACAAATTATTTAAATTATTTATTTAAAATTATTGGATAAAATATATATTTATTTATTATTTATTTATTATTATTATTCTTCTAATTGTATATTTTAGATTGTTCGCCGCCTATAATGAAAAACAAAGTGCGAATCGATGCGATTCGGTGATGGAAAAGATTAAATGTCTTCTCCATTATTTCAGAAGAGTCACAACTAAAGGTGAGCATATCATAATTATGAATTCTTTTATATAAATATTTATGCAATTTACTGATAATTTATCGATAAACGGATGTAATGTAGAACTCGAATCACATTATAATTTTTACATAGAGCAGCACCTGAAGGTATAATAACAATTGAACGACGTTACATTCCGTTGGAAAACTGTCCAAGATGGAATTTGCAAGAACAAAAATTACCACCGTTACATATAACGAGTAAAGGAACCATTGAAAGTGAAGGAGCTGGGTTGCTTCAAGTGGACTTTGCAAATAAGTGAGTCTCTATTATATAATTCTAGTTAGAATGAATTATGTCTGAAAAATTTATTGACAACTTGTATTGTTTGAAATTTTAGTGAAGAATTATAAGGCAAAATAAATAATGTTAAAAAAAGAAAAATAAAGAGATTCTAGACATTATTATAGATATTTTTCATTATTTACTAATTTTCTTTTTCGTATGTATTTCGTAAATAGATATGTGGGTGGAGGTGTGCTAGGCTTAGGCTGCGTGCAGGAAGAAATACGATTCGTTATATGTCCAGAACTTATGGTCACTATGTTGGTTACGGAGGAATTAGATGATACGGAAGCACTTATCGTCAGCGGTATCGAGCGGTACAGTAAATATGAAGGGTATAGCAACACTTTCAAATGGAAAGGAGATTTTGTTGACGAGACACCGAGAGATATTAGTGGTAGACGTATGACGTCAATCGTTGCTATTGATGCCCTTTACTTCAAGCAATCCTCTTTGCAGTTCAATATGGACAACATAAAACGTGAACTCAACAAAGTTTGTAATCTTGATATAAATATCATCTTAACTAAAATAAATCTGTATAAAAATTCATTAAATTTATCCTTCAAGTTCCTAAATTATCAGAAATGTGAAGCAATCTCGTTTGTATAAATATTTTTATAAATTTTAGATAAATTATAATTTTTATATAGATTATTACATATTTAAAAAAATATTACTTTAATCATTTCATTGTTCGATAATATTCTTCTCAAAATTCAAAAACTATTACTTGCTGATTGTAAAAAATTGCTGTTTATTTTTCAGTATTATACTAATATAATGCTATTGTCTCTAATTTTAATGCTAGTTAATTTTCCGTAGGCTTATGTAGGATTTGTCGGATCTGATATCTATAAGAACAATCTGCCCGCTATCGCAACGGGAAACTGGGGATGCGGCGCGTTTCGCGGAAATCCGAAATTGAAAGTTTTGATACAATTGATGGCTGCTGCAGTTGCAGGTCGATCGATGGTCTATTTTACTTTCGGAGACACGAAGTTGCGGGACGATGTGGCAGCGATGTACGCACATTTGGTTCATCACGATATTGATATAGGTATCCACATTTAAAAGAATTCCTACTACTATAATCTTTATAATTATTTACGTATTTACATTTATTAGATTAATTTTTTTTAACTTCTAGTGCGACTTTATTCAATGCTGTCGGAGTATCGTCAAGAATCAGTGTCAAACACTCATTCGGATTTTTATTGTTTCTTGTACAACAAAAGTAGGATGAAACCATTAAGCAAATATTTCCTGACAAAGACTGAAAATTCTTCACCGAAGATTTCTACCAAGAGTCTAAAGGAAACGCTATTTAAAAGAAACAAAACCGCAACTTTATCAAATAAAGAAGTCGATAACAAGCGATATCTTTATTCGACGGCTAAGGAGAAGGAAATGGCGGAGGAGAAAAAGATAATGAATTGGTTGACAAGCTGCGAGGACGATAGCAACGACAATGCTAAGCCCGATATCAAGGATACATGTTATGAGAAAACTAAGAATAATCCAAGAGAAGCGGATAGTAAAAAAAACGACAGTTTCCAGAACAATCATTTTGCAGAAAACACTGCCGATGGAGAAAATATACAAATGGAAGAGGAGGTATCAAATAAATTAGATAACAATGTAAATTCCTCGAATTCGAAAGAGCCGATTATTTCATGTTTCGTCGACAATCAAGGAACATCGAAGAAGATGAAACCTGAATTATCGATAAAATCTACGGAATTAAGTGACAGCGAATTTATCAAGATCTTGAAAGACTCCGCTCTAGAGTCATGTAAACAAAAGTCACTTCCGAAAAAAAGTGGCCAAAGGAAGATTTCAGATTTTTTCCAGCGAATATCTTGAATGCTATACAAGCGTTTTGAAGCTTGTCAATTAGCTACCGCGCACTCTGTAATTATAAACATTCTGTATAATCTGTATAATCTTAAACGTTGCAAAGTACAATGTAAATAAAATTCTACGTAAGATGTGATTATTCAAGTATTTTTCTCATTTTATATTTGATATCTTATATTTTATTTTAAAAAGCGAATATGCATTTGTATAAAATGTAATCAGACAATTTAAAAATGTTATTTGTTAATAACATTAATATTGTTAACATTCCTACAAATATCTTAATACTTTCATTGTATCGATTTAAATATTTAATATATAATAATGTATTATTTTTAATCAATAATTCTTAAATTGCTAATCAAACTGTTGGTCATCATTCGGCAGAATCCTTTTAAAAATCGACATTTAAAAACCCCCGTGCCTCGTTCGGCGGGAGACTAGCTGATCACGTGGTCGCTTATCGACGTATCGCGTTTGGCTGAGCGAACTGTCAAACGCGAAGATGGCTGCTGTCACTGAAATATTAAAGTCTCCCGCCGAATTAAGAATCGACAGGACTCGCCGATAGAAAATGTAGAATCTCCTAGGTCAGAGGCGCGTCCCAGGTAACACGCGGCCACGATCGGCGACGCGGCCCCGCGCGCAACAACGCGATCGTTCCGCAGTGACGTTCGTGGGCGGTTTCGCCACGACGTGCGCGCCAGGTACGCGTGTTGTATGTACGTGCATCTCACATGCGTGTTAGTGTGCGCGTCTGTGCGTGTGACATCTCGGTCGGTTTGACGTTTCAAGCGAGCGTTGAGCGAGTGGGTGGACGGACGGACGGACGTAAATATTGAGCCGGATGCTCGGCGGACGGCGATGCCGCTGATCCGTGCGCGTTGACCGCCGATCCGATCGGTTGTGTCGTACGCTCTCAACCTGACGCCGGGGACCCGCCGATGCCGAGGTTGTCGTTCGTTAAGCGTGGAGCTGTGTCATTTTCGTCGAGTCGCTCCATGCTGCCCGCAACGTTGACCGCGACGTCCGCACAACGGGCGCACGAGTGTGCCCGCTGACGGCCGCGCGGTTACGCCGTCATGCACTACTCCTGCACGACGCGTTTTTCGCTCCTACGTGCGCTCCTTGTCGATCATCTGCGATCACCTGAGTTATTAAATTGCGATTCAACGTATGTTTCTCAAGTCGTTAAGCCTGTATGTGTGTGTGTGTGTGTGTGTGTGTGTGTGTGTGTGTGTGTGTGTGTGTGTGTGTGTGTGTGTGTGTGTGTGGCGCGCGCGCGCGCGCGCACCTGTGTGTGTTTCATTTTGCGTCGTTTCTCTTGAGCACGTTGACATTTTTGTCAATTCGTTAAAATAGCTCATTCATATCGATCAGTTTTCTATTGATTGTTATTAATTAGCTATGACTAGAAAGTCGAGTTGGTATTGATCTTTTTTTTTAATATTTTTCTTCTTAACTTTTTAAGAGTACTTTTTAATCCTTTTTTGGAAATGTGCCATAAGTTAATGAAAATTTGTATTTCGATTTATTATCACTTCAACTTCTGCAGATTGACAATTTTGATGTCGTCTGAATGATAGTCCCGAGAAAAAATCCTTCTATGTAACAGATCTTTCCTGTGTCACAACTGGAAAACAGCTGTGTACTTTGTTGTACTTTGAAATAATTGGTTCTGTTCCAAAATTTATTGCACATAGAGTGAACTATAGATTTTCAAGGCTGGCAGTGAATTTTGGAACACAAAATTATTGAAAACAAGTATATAAAGATAAGGAGGAATTCTAGGTTTTCTTCTTTTCCTTTCAGCAAATCTTAAGTATGAACATAATGCGCAAATTACGAGGGGGTACCAGCGTCGGAGGTATGGGCTCGAGTGGTACCGGTGGTTTGGATGATTGTGCCGGTGGTACGAATCCTCAGCACACCGCTTTGGGGCTTATGCATCTCAAGAAACTATTCTCCGAGTATACCCATCCACCGCATCCCCTCTCAGACACTGAACGTGATGATAAATTATACAACATGTTGCCGTTATTTTGCAAGGTACAATACAATAAAAAGTGATTCTTTAATGTTGAGTGCAATCATGCGAATTGAAATACTGAATTAGTGTACATTAAAGACTGCTTTATATAAAGTATCTAAAGCACTGACATAATCGACAAAGAAATAACAAAAGTCTTTTTTTTTTAAAGAATATTTTGGACTGGTGCAATAAGTTGGAAACAAATTGTACTTATTCATATCATTATTTGATATTTATAATTGTTTAAAATAATTATGTTTTCACATTTAATTCTATCAATTTCATACATAGCAACTTTTAGCATACACTAGTGTAATACAAATGATCGAACTCCATATTCTTATATAAAGCAGTATATCGAGATATTTCTTTCCCTTCGATACTAGAACGAATCTTTTACTTTAGGATGTTTTTATATTCTCATATCGTTATCATTGTAATTACAAAAAGATCGTCTCGTTCCGCCAGGTATTTGGCTCTAGTCCATCAGGAGATATGAACGAAAAGTTCTGGGACATTTTGGCATTTACACAACAAGTATCAAGACTGATGGTATCTGAGATTAGGAGGAGAGCGAGCAATCAGAGCACTGAGACTGCAAGCTGTGCCATCGTGAAGTTTCTAGAAATCGAGAATAGCGAGGAGTCAAGCAACGGCTGGATGTTGTTATCTGCGTTAAATCTGTTGGCAGCGGGTGATACGTCTTTGATACAAGTGAATTGAATTTCTCTGATTAATTATCTATTTATTATTTCTGGAGACAAATTTTTTTCTGCAATATAAAATTCCTTCTAGGCCATGACTGCTGCCTCGGTTCCATCAACTTTGGTGAAATGTTTATACCTGTTCTTTGATCTGCCTGAGATGAATGAAGAGGACGCTGATATTACAGATGCAAATAGCGAATTTACTCCTAGAGAGCGTAGAATACTGTTACAAAAAATATTCGTTCAGGTGATAATTTTTTAAAATAATAATTTGAAATTTTCCCAGGAAAAATTAATATTTATTCGCGAGATTAATTTGTTCATTTGCAGTTATTGGTGAGATTATGTAGCCATCCTTATCCTGCAGAAGAACTCGCTCGTAAAGACGATCTTACCTTATTGTTCTCAGCAATAACCAGTTGGTGTCCACAGTACAATATTATGTGGCGTAAAAGTGCCGCCGAAGTCTTGATGACGCTATCTCGACATGGTCTTACACAGAACGTAGTAGCCTATATTCATAGTAAGTTTAACATGCTATTGTATACCTATATTAGTTCAAGATCAAATCTATTTTATGTATTGATTCATCTTGTAGATAAAGGATGCATAGCACTCTGTATCGATAATATGCAACGTGTACCTGAGCTGGCACCATTAGAAGTTGTAGAAATGTTCGTAACAGTGTTCTGTTTTCTAAAAGATTCCAGTGAGGTTTCTCAGACATTGTTAGATGATTTTCGTGCTTGTCAAGGCTATATATTTCTATCTGAATTTCTGTTAAAGTAAGTAAATGTTGAAATTACAAAATTCAGTAGCTTTGATACAATAAAAAAGATATTTTTCTATGTAGACATGCGCCATCAAGATTAGAACAAGATAGTAGAGCGGAAGCACAAGATGCTATCCGAAATTTGGTACTAATGTTAGCATCTTTAACAATGTGCGGTCACACAGAATTAAAGCCAAGCCAAGCTAGTATGGGATCTTTGTTTCAAATGCTTGGGTTTACTTTGCCACAACCAAGTAACAGAGGTATAACTTTATAAATAAAATATTTGTGAAATGAAGCGAACATACTTTATACAATTTTATTACTCCTACAGGAGGAAGTGTCCGAAATATTCAAGCATTCCAAGTATTGCAATCTGTATTCGTAAAATCTAATTCACCACTTCTGTGTTGCACTATATTGGACGCAATATCTAGCGTGTATCACAGCGATAATGCAAATTATTTTATTCTCGAAGGACAGAATACCCTATCCCAATTTGCAGAGAAAATCCATTTGAAGAATCCGGAGATACAAGAAAAATTCTTTCAGCTGTTGGAATTTATTGTTTTCCAACTTAATTTTGTTCCGTGTAAAGAACTTATATCTCTCTCCATTTTATTGAAAACGAATAATTCAGTCTCTTGCAGTATTATGTGTATGGAAACTCTCCTCAATATACTTAGGTAATTTAAAGATGTAGCTTGAAAAGCTTTATTGAAATACATCAAAATAACAGAAATAATGTATTAAAGACTTAACTTAGGAAACTTTATTGAAAAATATTAAAATAATATGCGATGTTTCTATCGATATTTCAAATAAAATTGCTCGTTTCAGACACAACACTATATTTAAAGATGTTTATAGAGAAGTTGGTATGTTAGAAGTTTTTGTGACTTGTCTTCATCGGTATGCAACATTACTTAAGGATAAGCAAGCTGCGATTGATCAAGGATTAGGTAAAGATATGATCATACATAAGTTTGCGAAGTGATAATTCTGATAATTTAACATGATTTGTGATAATTTAACATGATTTAACATTAACATGATCAGAATATACGATATGCCCCGAGGATGAACGGTTGGGTGCCTTAGTAATGGAGGCTTTAACAACATTATTAGCGAGTAATGTTCAAAATGCGAATGTCTTTAGAGAATGCGGAGGCGCGCGTTGCGCTCATAATCTAGTACCCTATGTAGATTGTCGGTATCAAGCACTTGGTATCGTGAGAGAATTGATACTCAGTGCAGGTGGTGACGATGACATGGCAACATTGTTAGGAGTTATGCATTCAGCGCCTCCTAATGCCTTGATTTTAAAGACGCATATATTAAAGGTGAGTTTAATATTAATGTTAATCTCATCGTTCTCATCTCATTCATAAAATTATTAATAATATGATTATTTTTCAGTCTCTGTTAGCCTGTTTGCGCGAGTCGCATAGGACTAGAACAGTTTTCCGAAAAGTTGGGGGCTTCGTTTACGTGATGTCAGTTCTTGTATCTCTTGAGAGTCAATTAGGCCCGCAAAGGTCAGAGAAGAGTGAA